GTTAACTAGCAGACATGATCAGACTTGAATTATTTAAATTGTCAGTATTATTTAAAGAAACAAAAGCCATAGATTTGTTTCTGAAAATTCATTATTTTAATTTTTCCCTATATTAATGAGTTAAAGGTGCAATAAATTACAAACTAATAAAGTTTACCACTGACCTTAATGTTCTCTCTGGGTGTTTTAYGGAGTTAAAATGGATTAAATGAAGGATCGTTTACTCTAAATTTCTGTTTCACTTAGTTTTAATAAATTTTGTTAATATTTACTATCCAACCTGTGTTATTCACACAGAAAAATGAATTAACTGTGAGAACCAAAACTGTAAAACTAACAGCTACATGTGCATTACAGAGTAAATAAATTCAGCAATTTATAACTGTGATTCAGAGAAAGAAAAAAAGGCAATGTTGTGACACTTCATTTCATTTTACTRCATTAAAACTGTCATTTTTAGACAATTTGATTCCAAAAATGTGTAAAAAAAAAAACCATGTAATGCCTTGGATAAATGTCTGTGTAATCATTTTTATGTAAATTTTCTTTTTGTTKTGTCCAACACCAAATGACAAATACTAAACAACATATTGCACTTGATGCTGATTTATCTAAACTGTGCTGTTCCCATTTTATTATAATTCCAATTAAAGCTTTTTTATGTTTAACGAAACCATAGATCTGAAATATTCTGGATTGTGTAAAAAGTGAAATAAAAAAGAGCATTAACCTTGTTTGTACTGTTGTCTGAAATAATAAAATGTCCTCATGGCACAGAAAGATTCAATCACGAACCAATTGCTTCTTCGTATTTTTTTTATTTTGCTAATTCACAGCATATAGTGAGAACTGTTTTATAAAAGTGACAAAAAGATGCACGTCTGTTTCTTAAGGGTTTTATATAGAAGTGAGGAATAATTTTCTTTCAAGATTTTGAGTAAAAGCAAATTTGACAGGTATGAAACGAAGTCATTAAAGAGGAAGAAATGCACAACGTAGTGCTGTTTTATAACGTAGTGCTGTTTTATAATATCTGTTTTAATCCAACATTTTTCTCATTCCTTCCTTTTTCTACAGTCCTCACAAAACTCTCTTCTGAGTTTGACAAATGTGTTTTAGACTGAAACAAGAATGCAACAAACTGGGCTTACATTTATAAAATATAAAGAGGTGGAAAARAACTATTGAACATAAAAGCAGAGTTAGCTAACTACAGAAAATAAACATAAGAAACAATAACATGTCAACAAATGTGTAAGACCCGTGGATTAAATTTAAACAAATTGAGAAATGTGCTGCAGAAACTTGTAAACACTGTTTAGTGGTTAGCAAACGGGGGTCCGTGTAAAGCACGTGTCAAACACAAGGCCCGCGAGACTCCGTGTGGCCCGCCAGGGGGTACCGCTCCTCCCAAAATTTTTATTTTTTTTTTACTTAGCATGAAATTTGTTTCTTTTATCAATGGTAAACTTTAAATTCATGATTAAATGCAACAAAAATAAATTTAATAAAAATAAATTAAATAAAAATAAACTTAATAAATTCCTGTCCCTGAACTGTTGGCTATAAGTAACTGAGCAATTCAGTTGGATAGCACAGTATTAATGTCTGAAAATAAGCTGTTTAAAGTCACCATCAACCATAAACTAAATAATATTTCTGTATTTATTTCAGATTTAGTCAGTTGTACACTTAGTTCTTATCAGTGTTTAAAAGAGGACGAGTTACAGTGGTTTGCAAAAGTATTCATACCCCTTGAACTTTTCCATATTTTGTCACATTACAACCACAAACATAAATAT